AACAACAACAACAACAACAACAACAGCAACAGCAACAGCAACAACAGCAACAGCCAGGTGTCGTTTTTCAGCCTCCAAATTTACTTAACAATACTCAAATCAAGACGACCATACCTTTTAATGGTGTCGACTTCTACTCCTGGAGCTTCGAGTTTGAGCTTCTGGCGCAGTCCGCTGGGCTTTGGCCGTTCTTCACCGGAGATTTCACCTATCCTGTTTCTTCTTATCTTCAAGCAGAGAAGCAAGATCTTGACCTGCTGTCACAACGCAACCAGAAAAGGGGAGTTCATTTAAGTTTTTACTCCAATCTAGAAACACAACATCGACATCCACCAAAGTACCCGTTCTGCCATTTCTGTAAGAAACCAGGACATACTTACCAAAACTGTCGCAGCCGTCATCAAAACCGTCGCAATACTTCGCAGCCGTATCAACGATCGCAGAAGTTACCGAATACACAACTGCCACATCAGCAGTTAACATCTCAGCAGCAGCAGATACCGAAACCGCCACCAAATCCATCTACGTCGCAGCATCGTCCGCCGGTCTTCGCATCTGCCACATCAGGAAAAGGGGTTTTTGGCTGCGTCACCACAGTTAATGTTTCAGAAACAGATTTCGAAACACGACTTGAAGAAACAACAAGTGCTGAAGGCATTCCTTTACCTCAAGTTTATGCTAACCTTGCTCGCATAATTTCAGGACCAAATACCTGGTATCTCGACAGCTGCTGCGGATGGCATATGTGTTCTGCCGAAACAAGCTTTATCGCAAATCAGCGTCCACTTCGTCATCCGACACCTGTCACAGTCGCAAATGGACAACCAATAATGGCACGATCAGTTGGCAGTGTCATGCTCGAATCTATCCACACAGGATACTCACTTCATGTTACGAATGTTCTTATCGTCGCCGGACTTGGCTTCAACCTTCTTTCCACGGCTCAGCTCCTGGCACACAAAATCCGTACACAAGGAAATTGTGAGACGATGGATCAAGAGCTCTGGCACAGTACAACTAATACCTACCTTGGTCGTGCCGCCACTCAACATGGCGTGTCAGTTCTTCAGTTCGCAGCACAGGGAACTTCTGGAGATTCTGAACACGTGCTTGCACTTGGTCCCTGGGATCACCCAGAAGAAACAGATTATCAACATGTGGATATTGATTTTCGGGCAACTTCAGTACCAACAGCTTCTCGAACAGCAGCCGCAGTACTTACCTCGTTGGATACCTGGGAGTTCAATACCGCCGATGAAAGCGCCACCGTGTGGCGAACGTTTTATAATACCCGTGCAGCCTTCCAAGGAACTCCAGCACCACTTTGGGGAGAAATCAGTGGTCTTGCCGCTGATGAACCTGACGTTGTTGAAGAAGCCGAACAGGAACCCGTAGCTGAGCAGCCGAGTCCAACCGTAGCTGTCGCCGAAACACCTGCCACGACATCAACAGAAGCAGTATCAGGGGATATACTCGCACCTGCAGCAGCAATCACACAAGTCACGTTACCTCTTACCCGTTTCGTCGAAGGAGAGATTGACAAGTCACCAGCTCTTTCTCCTTTCATCCTTTCTTCCTTTTATACTAACTCCGAATTTTACCTGCGATCATCAGGACACAAAGCCACGGAAGATATATGGCATCAGCGACTAGGACATCCATCACAAGGGATTCTCAATCATTCAATCCGAGCAGCAGTTCTTGATAAAAATAGTTTACTTTTACCTGATGGCACTGAGATGAAGCCGCAGTCTCGTCCGACGGTTTGCACCACTTGTCCAGTTGCCAACCTTACGCACGATTTGTTTCCAAGTCATTTTCCCGGCTCAACGCGTTATCAACTGATGCAGAAAGTCTACAGCGACATACTCAACTTGTCTGAAGCAGGCCCTAAAGACGAGAAGTATGTAATAACATTCATCGAAGCGTCTACACGATATGTCTGGACAGCTAACTTACCTGCGCGCCATCTCGCTCACTCCGTCTTCGTCGCATGGCTCGCTGTCGCTGAACGTTAGTCTGGCGCGAAACTGCAAGAATTTCAGAGTGATGGTGCAGGGGAGTACACCAGCAACACTTTCACAGACTACCTTCAGACACTCGGCATAAAACGGAAGTAGTCCCTGCCGCATGCACATCAACAGATGGGGGTAGCAGAAAGGATGAACAGAATACTGCAGGAGAAGATGCGTGCTCTGCTGACGCAGGCAGCACTTCCACCGCATTTTTGGCCATATGCGATGGACCACGCCGTGCTGTTACACAATCTTCTTTCTTCAACGTCCCTGCCCGAGTTTTCTTCTCCGCATCTGCAGTGGACACGTACATTGGGAAACACAAAACGTTTAAGAGTTTTCGGGTGTGTTGTACAGTTTCGTCCTCCAATCGCAGCACTCGGAAAAATTTCTGAACGAGCAAAATGGGGGGTACAACTCGGCATCGAAAAACAGTATCACACGTGGAAGATTTTGGACCTTCGCTCCCATCAAATCGTTCCATCACGTGATTGTCTTTTCTATGAAAGACTCACCTTGCACGTTTTTCGTGCCCACCAGGCAGCAGCCGCCAATCCTGCCAGGCTGTTCGAAGGCTCGCGTGCGTTTGCAACTGACGAAGCTGAAGCTGATGTACAGGACGAAGCAGTTTCTGAAGCATCCGAAGCTGCCGCAACTGACATTCCCGAACCTGTAACCTCGACTGGCATACCAGAGTGTATTCCGCTTGCAGATGCTGACACGGATGATGTTCGCGAAGTTCGTCTCAGTTACGAACGCGATCGCCAACAACAGCCGATGCCCGCCGTCTCTGACGAAGCAGTTCGTGTTACACCTGACGAAATTGGGGGGGAAGTAGGAGCAGAATAAAATTTCGCAGGTGCAAACGAAGAACGTCCGCGTTTTACAGAAACAGGATTGCAGATACTGGGATTTGCAGTAGCCGTACAGTGCAACGACATTAAGATACCTGAACCGAAAACCGTTCGACAAGCTCTTACGAGTCCTCACCGAGAGAAATGGCGCGAAGCCATGGACAGAGAGCTAGCAGCTCTCAAGAATCGCGGAACATGGGATTTAATGCCGACTTCAGAAGTAACGGGGAAAAAGGTACTTACCGGAAAATGGGTTTTCCGCGTCAAGACAAATTCAGACGGGTCGTTTGAAAAGTTCAAAGCGCGATGGGTCGTCCGCGGATTCGAGCAGACTTACGGCATCGACTCTGAACTAACCTTCACCCCTGTCGGGCGACATACGAGCGTTCGGATTCTTCTTTGTGTCGCCGCCTGCCGTAATCTACGTCTTCGCCAAATCGACGTCTCGAATGCGTTTCTCTACGCGCCTGTCGACGCACTCATCCTGGTAGAGTACCCGCATTCTTATACTACTAACCCACCGAGCGTTTGCCGTCTCCGAAAATCTCTATACGGCATTAAACTGGCACCACGGCTCTGGCAGCAGTATCTTCATTCGCAGCTGATCATTGCTGGATTTCGACAGTTACCGCATGATCAGGGGATGTATCTACTGACCGACGGCAGCAACTATATTTTACTCGTCGCCTACGTCGATGACATCCTATACGTCAGTACTACCAATTCCCTTGCCGAGACCTTCATACTGAAATTACAGGAAAATCTACAGCTTACCGTCTCCGAAACAGTCACACAGTTTCTTGGACTGAACATTACATGTTCACCGACAACTATTCATCTCACCGCTTCGAAGTATGCAGCAACACTCGCTGCCCGCTTCAACCTCACACCTACTGCAGTCTCTATACCGTACCGCTCACTACCGACTGACTACAAACCGAACACCGCACCGTTAACTTCAACCGGTTTACAGATCTATCAACAACAGCTAGGCTGTCTACTTTTCGCCGCTGTCACTTGTCGTCCTGATCTAGCCTATGCGGCCAGTCAGCTCGCACTATTCCTACGCCGTCCTGAGGAGGAGCATCAGCTTGATCTTCTCCGCGCGCTTCAGTATTTTATCTCGACACCTGACGTCGGATTAGTCTACAACGTCATCGGTTGTAAAACATTCTATCTACACGGTTTTGTCGACGCCGATCACGCTGCTGATTCTACTAATCGACGGTCACGCACTGGGTTCATCTATCGACTGGAGCCTATCGGACCTATCTCTTGGAATTCTACGAAGCAGGAGCTGATTGCACTCTCCTCTGCTGAAGCTGAGTTTATTGCTGTTTGCACAGCAACACGCGAAGGACTTTACTTACAGGAACTATTGGAAGCAGCGAAGTTGACGACAACTACCCAGTTTACCCTACATTGCGACAATCAAAGTGCAATTCGCATCGCACATCAGCCTGGTTTCGTCAACAAAACGAAACATATTTCGCTTCGTTATTTTTTCGTCAAAGATGAAGTCGAGAAGGGGAGGATGCGATTGGTCTACTGTTCGACCAACGAAATGGCTGCCGATTTTCTTACGAAGAAGCTGACACGAAAGAAGTTTCAGTACTGTAACAAGCTCTGCGGAATCTTCAAGAAGTGACACTATCGAACTTCCAGAAATGAAGGGGAGTGTTGTGATATAATTTTTACTTAGCATTTCTGTAAGTCGATTATGTGTAGTTAGTGTCGAATCATACTGTAGAAGATAAGTCCGTAGGATGACGTCAGCAAATAGCGCTCGTCATAGGACAGTCGTTTCAGTCACGCGAACAGTTGCACCCCTTCATTATCATCTAGGGCGCATAGCGCGATAGTGACGAACAGGTACATTAGCGAATAGGTACTTTTCGTAGAACTATAAATCTCTGTTAGGTCTTTTTCATTATTAACTTTGATTACTCACAAGTTCACGTACTCAGGTTATTCAACCTTGACCTTTACATTTTACAAGACTTCCGTTGTCTTACTAGTCTACCATTCCAGCAAAGATCCTGGACCAACACTTGAGGATTTGCCAAGTGTTCGGGTTTATAGTTTTATACTTAGTCTACTACAACATCAGACGATTTATTTCAATTTCTACATATGCTTAGGGTTCGTATGATAAGACCCATGGGTCGTCTATCCGGGAGCTGACAAAATGACTTCAACGGAAACATCATCCCGAGGACCAAGCAGAAATACTGGAAGGGTTGCAAGTTTGCAACTCCAACTAAATATTGAAGCGAAATTGGAGGAAAGGCTCAAATTGTCTCTTTCATGAGTAAAAGTATACTACGTTGGAAGACGTGATTTGTACGGATGAACCAAGGCACATGCAAGCTCCAATGCCTCGAGCAGAAGAGGCAGCTGGCTCTCAACGTGCGACGGAGACTGTGACGTGGCCATGCGTGGTGTTGGCGTAGCAGCCTCGTTTGTGCCAATGGAATGTGCCGCATCAAGACGGCCAAGGACTGGAGCCAGGATCTGACAAAGGGCGTGTAACGCAATCATCGTGGCTGCAGGCATAAATTGCATGCATTGTTAGCTGTGTCTTGGTGTAGGAATTAAGCAAAAGGGGGCAGAAACCAGCTTGGTCCACAATAAGAGTGCTAAAGGGAAAAGCAGAGACACCCAAAGAAGGGGGAGGGGGAGGCACAGGGGAAAAAAAACATGGTTGCATGTTTGATACATACGGCCTTGAGTCATGCTTACCTTGCGTGCATGACCGCCAAAGGCCACACCTGCAACTGCAAGCCTGTGATCTGTGAGATAGAAAAGTGCTCGGTTAGCGTGGATCAATGATGTTGCCTGAGAGCGCTTCAAAGAACAGCTGGGTTAGAAAGCACTCCCAACGACATTCTGATTCATTACATTTCAGTGTTGTGAAAGCATGAATGGTGAGAGATAGGTGCAGGAGAGAACATCATCGGCGCTATGAGACGCATGAGGAGCATGGGTGGTGACGCATGAGCAAGCAGGAATGGCACCAATAGAGCTGAATAGGGTGAGGCCATGCTGACTGCAGTGGAGGATCAACAGGGGCGACAATAATACGGGCAGCACTGCAGCAGAGTGGGGTGCTGAACTCACCAGAAGAAGCAGAAGGCAGCATTCCATGATCTTGTAACGAGGTGAAAGTGTGACTGTTGGTTCCGCCTGCGATCTGTAGGTAACCTGCTTATATAGAGGATGAGAGAGGATGGATGTTGGTGGGGGTAGGGAAGAAATGAAGAGAGTGTCAAGTGTGGGAGCAGACAGAGGCACGAGAGGAGCGACATGGAGAATGATTGAGAAGACTTGGCTGGTTCCCTAACAGCAACAATCCCATGCCACTACATGCCACCTGCAATGAATATTCCCCCTTCACCGTCACATGCCCCATCACCTGGCGGCCTATCCTCAAAAGCAGCCACTCTGGCAGCCAGTCGGATTGTGGCACGTGTTGCCCCGGCGCCTATGTCCCCACTCATGGGCCGGCCGTCCAACTGGGGGGGCGGGTGGAGAGAAGCAGGGAAACGAAAAGGGGAGGGCGGATCAGAAGGGAGCGAGAGAAAGAGAAGGGCGAGAGAAAGAGAAGGGGGAGAGAAAGAGAGAGGGGAGAGAGTGGAAGGGGGGGAGAAAAAAGGGAGAGGAGAAAGGAAAAGGGAAGAGGATGTGAGGGGGATGGCATGAGTGAGGGGAGGGTCCAGGAGGCTATAGCACCACTCGAGGGGCAGCCTTTGCACGGGGAGGGGCAACAGAGTGGAGGGATGAGGGGAAAGGGGCAAGAGAGAGGAGGAATGAGAGGGAGGGGCACAGGGTGAAAAGTAGAACAGGCAAGACATCGGGAAAGTCTGGGTAGAGGACGGCAGAGGAAGGAAAGGCAGGGCGGGTGAGAAGGTTAAGAAGGTTGAGAAGGGCACAGAAAGCGATGGCGATGTGCACTGAAGGGGGAGAGATGGCGAGAAATGATGGCAAGAGCCACCGCACCTGCCATAGGTTAGCAAGACACGAGGGCAAGAAAAGATGCAGGATGGGAGCCAACTGATCACGGTAAAGTCGCAAGAGCCACAGCACCTGCCATAGGTTAGCGGCCGAGAGGTGTGGGTGCATGGTGCGGTACATGGCATGCATGGCATGGTGCATGGCGCCACCCAGGTCAGGCAGACTCACCTGCACACAACGGGTGGAGAGGAGAGAGGGGAGCAAGGGACAGATGGGAGGTGCGGCAGTGAGGTGTGGGCGCAAGGTGCTGCACATGGCATGCACGGCAGGATGCATGGTGTCCCCTACGTCAGGCAGACTAACCTTCGAGCATGGGAGAGGGGACAAGTAGGCAGAAACGGAGGGAGGGAGGCAGGGAGTGATAGAGGTAGGTACACGGGAGAGAGCAGCAGAGGCAGGGGGGAAGCGGCAAGGGGGATGGGGAAGGACACGAGGAAAACGCACGATGCCTGATAAACGAAGGAGAGATGCCTGATAAACGAAGGAGAGATGCCTGATAAACGAAGGAGAGATGCCTGATAAACGCTGGCGCACACATGCGGGGAAGCACATTGATGTGGTAGCGGTCACTCACAGCTACTAGCTTCAGCGAGCCGGCTGCTTCACCAATCGAGGCCCACAAGGCATTGAACGCTTCCACGTGCCTGCGTGAGATTGGAGGGAACGCAAGAAGGTTGTGAGAGGTGCGAAGCTGGCTTGCAAGACGATGGAAAACCATCGAAGGAGATCGAATACGAGCGATTCCAGCAGGGATAAATCGCACAGCGCTGTGAAACGGATGCGATGTGCTTCACTGAAGGACCATTGAGAAAAGGGCTATCAGGAAAGGGCTATCAGGAAACCGTACAGTGTAGAAAGAGAGGGAAGGAGTGGCCCGAAGGAGTACTAGGGCCAACTCACCCTGGCAGAGTGTGAATCTCTATAGCATCCACAAGCCCGCCGCCCAAGAGCGTCAGCGTGTCTTCGTGTGTTCGCTGGTGCTCCTCTGCCGCTGGTGGCACAGAGATGGACAACGACAGCCAGAGACAAAGATGGAGCCTGAGATAAGAGGGGGGGTTGGTTGGGGACATGCAGGGATGATTGGATGGGGACATGCAAGGATGGTTGGTTGGGGACATGCAAGGATGGTTGGATGGGGACATGCCGGGATGGTTGGATGGGGACATGCAAGGATGGTTGGATGGGGACATGCAAGGATGGTTGGTTGGGGACATGCAAGGATGGTTGGATGGGGACATGCAGGGATGGTTGGATGGGGACATGCAAGGATGGTTGGATGGGGACATGCAAGGATGGTTGGTTGGGGACATGCAAGGATGGTTGGATGGGGACATGCAAGGATGGTTGGATGGGGACATGCAAGGATGGTTGGATGGGGACATGCAAGGATGGTTGGATGGGGACATGCAAGGATGGTTGGATGGGGACATGCAAGGATGGTTGGATGGGGACATGCAAGGATGGTTGGATGGCAAGGCAGATATCAAGAAAGCATGGCCGCCACTGCAGTAGCTTGTGCTGACTTTTGAGTCGGCTCAAACGCCACCGTGGTAGCATGTGCTATTGTCGTGCCCCAAAGTGCGAAGTGGCCCGACATTGTGCACCGCACACAGAGGAGACAAATGATGCAGCGCGGGTCCCACGTACAGATGATGCCAAAGGGGCACACAGGGATGCACCGCCCACACCCATAGCAGCGATCCGCAATCACGCCGCCCACACTGTCTGCACTGCTACCCGTGCTTGTTGCAGCATCGCTGGTGGCAGCAGCAGCATGGAAGCGGATGGCAGCGGCGGGGCAGACTCGCTCACAGGGGCGAGGGCAGGCAGGCGGACAGAGAGACGCGTCAAAGACTGGGGTGATGGGGACAGGTGGGGGGGGAGGGGCGGAGAGAGGAGTGGAGAGGGAGCAGATAGGGGGGTGAAAAGAGGAATGGAAAAGGGTGGAGAGAGATGTCAAGCCATGGGCAAGGAGGATGGAGAGGGAAAGCCATGGGCAAGCGGCGATGGAAGGGAGTGTAACCATGGGCAAAGAGGATGGAGAGGGAAAGACAGGAGGTCATGTTACCACGTGAGATTGTTACAACAACGCCCAGTGACATGCGCGTGTCACAGCTCCTGTGCACAATGGTCACTCCAGCAGCAAAAGCCCTCATGATTGACTCGGCTTCACGTCATGTCAGATGCGCGCGGCACTGACCTGCTTTCCTGAAGTGTGGGTCCCGCCCATCGCTCACACTGACCATCACCCACGGCCGCCTTCCCATCTCCCCCCATTCACCGCCGCCCCTCCCCTCCCCTGCCGCCCACGCCATGGCTGCATCTATCCCCTCCGCTGCTGCTGCCACCACTGCTGGCTCTGCCGCACAGTCTATGCAGTCCACTGGGGGGGGGACATGAAGGGGAAGGGCAGAACGGATGCAAAAAGATTGATGGGAAAAAAAAAAGAGAAAGAAAATAAAAGACCACAATTGGCTGGTTCCCTGCATGCACAGTCGATGCAGTCCAGTGGGTGGAGAAAAGGAGGACGCGCAGCAGCAGGTGATACCGTGATGGCACGACTTTGAGGCCCCGGAAATGTTCTTACCCTCCCTCCGCTACTGATGCCGCCACTGGTGTCACTGCCATTGTTCACACGCGCCTTTACTTTCGCACTTCCAGCATTCCTCCATCTCATGTCTCGTGCATCATCCACACTAGCGTTCCACCCTATGATACAACATATAAGACTCTGAGACACTTGCACCTTACGCTGTCTCTCAACTGCAGACTACACTTGTGCCACACACAGTTCTCACCACCGCACCACTTCACCGTGTATCCACCTCTCAACGCCGTTCGCCTGCCACCTCTACACCTATCTCACATGCACAAACTCCTGTCACCTTACCTCCTGTCACCTTACCTCCTGTCACCTTACCTCCTGTCACCTTACCTCCTGTCACCTTACCTCCTGTCACCTTACCTCCTGTCACCGTACCTCCTGTCACCATACCTCCTGTCACCGTATCTCCTGTCACCGTACCTCCTGTCACCGTACCTCCTGTCACCGTACCTCCTGTCACTGTACCTCCTGTTACCGTACCTCCTGTCACCGTACCTCCTGTCACCGTACCTCCTGTCACCATACCTCCTGTCACCGTCTCTCCTGTCACCGTACCTCCTGTCACCATATCTCCTGCCACCGTACCTCCTGCCTTGAACCATACCTCCTGCATGCATTCCACCGTACCTCCTGCGAGCGTGTAGACGAAGGCAAGGTTGCGCACATCCGCCACGTCCTGGTGGGGGCATGGGGGATGACACGGGGCGAAGGAAAGACAGGGCAGCATGGGGAGGAGAGACTGCAGCACAGGAACCAAGGGAAGAAACAGCAGAGGAGCACGCGTAAGGAATTGGCGGCATGCATGCACGCATGCTGGCGTGAACGCACGAGAACGTCCATGCAAGGGAGGCATGCCGAGACCGTGGCGTCCTAGAGCCTGGCCGCTCACCACACCCACCCCCCCATCACACCCTCTCACCACACCCTCTCACCACACCCTCTCACCACACCCTCTCACCACACCCTCTCACCACACCCATGCGACGCATGGCATTCCTCCCACGCGGTTCTCCTCACCCGCGGCGCTCACCTCGAAGCTGGCCCCGCAGATGAGCTTCACCCACCGCCCTGCGTCCAGAGCCAGCAGCGGCTGCAACACCCGCAATGGCTCCTCCCCTCTCATCGCATGTGCTGGGGCGCTTGCTCCCCCCGCTGCTCTCGCCCCCTCTGCTCCCCCCTCCCCTTGTACCGCTGTGCCCCCACTCGCCACATCGTTCCCCCCCACTGCCTCGGTTCGGCCTCCTTCACCTGCTGGCCCCGTGGCACGCTCAGGGGAATGCGTGCGCCGAATCAGCTCTGCAATCCGTTCGATAATGTCACATCCGACCTCCGTGCACGGCCCGTCTCCTGCTTGCACAGCGTGTGCAGCGACGGCGCCAGTGCGGTAACCATCAGCTGTAACGGAACCGCCACTGCGGTTACCAGACGACGAATCAGCTCCGGCCACGCGGCAGGCATTCGCGCATCTGCGCGGAGCGCAGCAGACTGCTGCCACGTGTCCCCCGCGCGCCTGATGTTTCCGCCACAAAGCGCAACGCCCGCGGACGTCCCGGCGAGAAGCGCGGGACTCTGCCGGCTGCTGTGGTGGCTGCTCTGCGCGCAAACATGCCAAGAAGTGATTTGTGAGATCTGGAAGGAGAAAAAAACACCCACCCCAAACAAGCCAGGAAGTGAGCTCCGCGATTTCTCACGCCAGAGGTATGGGATTGCAGAGGCCCTTCGCAGAGCTGACTTAGCGGGAATGCATGGCGCCGCAAGGAAGGGCGTAGGTCGGATCGCGCAGCCAGAAGTCGTCCGTTCGCAGGCGAGAATTGCGGAAGAAGAAAGACTCACCACTCTTTCCAGTCCACGTCGTTCTTCAGGCCTCAGGGCGAAAGGTGCTGACACAAACTTGGCGGAAATGGGCATCTTGCTGTACACCGGAAAGCCTCGTATGTGCACAATGCCATTGCACGCACTCAAGAAGGTTGCAGCAGTATGCGATAAGAGCACACTGTGGGAACGGTTCTCATAGACCATCGATTATTCACATAGTAGATGCTATATTTCTCTACATTCACTCTTTTGAAGGATGCTCGTTATAATTGAGTACTTCTTAAGTAATTAATTTACTGTAGTTGCAGCGCATGTGTTATGATTATCTCCGGATGGGAGTCCAGTAATGGAATAGAGAGGTTTATTCAAGTGTGTCGAATACAAATGAGGCGAAGAGCTAAATACAAGCACAGCTAGCCTATCAAGGGAACCTGGAGGAGGGCCACGAAACACACGCGAGGTGGTTTGGGCACCTTGGGGCTCAGAAGTGTCGGATGCGACTCCACGTGTAGGCTTCCGATGGATCAGGAAGCCTCAAAACCAAGGTGCCTCAAACGCAGTTCGAGACCTGGGTTGTCGGGCCGAGCCTAGACTTCCGAGTAGGGCCCTAGATTGGTTTTGAGGCTTCCTGATCCATCAGGATTCTCCCTGCATAAAAAGTCTGAATTTTCAGGGTCCCCTTAAAAAAAAAAATCCTGAGCCATCCGAATTACTTCAAAAAAAAAATCATGATTTCTCTCTTTCTATACATGTTTTAGTTCATGAATTATGTGTTCAAGTCTTGGTTGTTGGGGGTGCTGGGAATTCGTAGCGAATTCGCGCGTGTGGGGTGAGATTGGGGGATGGGCAGGAAACGACAATTGGTGGGGGGGAGAGGGAGGAGGGGCTTAGTAGGGGGGGAGGCGACGATATTGCAGGGGCGGAGGGAATCTCTTCCCTCGCAGAGCCCCAGGGCAGGCACACATCAAACAAATTTGGCCAAGGGCCAGCAATTGCCCTCACAGCCCTCAGCACACATCGAGACGAATACATTGCTAAGGGTCGATGCGATGACCTCCCTCACACGACACGAGTCACACGACCTCCAACATACAGCGCGGAGATTTTTTTTACCAAGGGCCAATCACCGCCCTCACACAGCCTCGGGGGGTGGGGAAGGGGGGGGGGTGGGGGGAGAACCTTGAAATTCTTGACTGCCCCCCCAAGACACGCTTTTGGAAAGGACTAAGACCCGCTCAGAACCCATGCTCGATACAAGTTTGAAATTTCAGGATCCATTACAAAAAAAACTGAGCTGACAGATATCCCTTACAAAAAAACCCTGAAATTTCAGGAAATGCCAAAAACAAAGCCCTGGCAAATCAGACCTGGTACCCCTCAACACCCTGTTTTTTTCCTGAACCAGGAAAATTTTCCTGACTTCTGGAGGCCTGCTTCCGAGGTTCTGGGAAGTATGCGATGTTAGCGAGGGTTTGCTAAGGAAATGGAATTTCCTTATACCTTCCCTCCTCCTAGGCGAGACTACCCACATCTGCGGTAGATCGGACTTGTTACGACAAGGAATTGCTCGCATTCCTGAAAGTGACACTCGAGTTGTAACCCTTTGTCGAATCGAAGCTTATGACGCGAATCACGAAGTGCAACGGTCATTGACCGTTGACCGATAGTAGTCACAACAGTAAGAACACATAACTGACTGTATAATACACCACAGGCAGTTACTCAAGCCCTGTACAGCTACCCAAGTCGGATGTGGAACCTCAAAGGGAATGTAGCCCTGTTAAGTGCATCTTAGTTAGACCCTTCGCATTCCCCTGTATCACTATATGAGCCCTGTATCCCATTTCTATAATCAACACTATTAAGTTACATTCACTCTGACATAGTTCATCAACCAATCAATCGTTTTCGCAAAGCGCACTACTGCAGTTCAATCCTGAAGATCCTACGGACTATATTGAATTGCTTCAGTTCGGGATCTGGGTTGTTGGGCCGAGCCTAGACTTCCGAGGTTCTAGGAAGTATGCGGTAATAGCGAGGGTTCGCTAAGGAAATGGATTTTTCTTATACCTTCCCCCCTCCTAGGCAAGACAGCCCACATCTAGAGTAGACCAGTCTTATAAATAAACATGCACCATAGGATGGTTGTCAAGAGTAACTAATGGGAACCACATGTCGTGTCGCACTTTCGGTCAACCCAGCGAACCAGAAACTCCAAAACCCGTTGACCGTGGTCGCGGCGGATTGTGTGGGAGAGAATCTGTTGAGTTCCGGTAGTTGGCTCAGGAAATGGTTTTATCAACGGATAAATTCGTCGACAGTCGATATCAGGCGTGTTTACGACAAACTGTCGAAGAAGGCTGACGTGGAAAGAACCGTGGAGACGCTAGTCGCCCTGCAACAGTAATTGTGTGGTGATCGGTGTCACCATCAGAATAATACGGAAGCGTCCAAAGAATTTTGGACGATATTTGTGTGGCAAACATAAAGCGAGGATCTTAAAACTCTAAAAAAGCAAGCCCTAATTTTTTTACCCCTAACCTCGGTTGACATGGTTACTCGTTCCACAGTGCAAAACTGTTATAGTCACAATAGGCTCAGGTGTGCCTATAATGAGAGACAGAGAGCACAGTCGGATTTCCGTCAGACGGCTTCAAATATTGATAACGATCTGCTGGCTGACTCAAACGGTGATCTGTAAGTTCGATCTGGAGCGCGTTGCTGTCGCCTATCAGCAGCAAGTTGAATCATGAAATTCCATGAAGATTTGACGACGCTATGGCAGTTTGACTGGCAAGAGGTATAGCAGCCACTATAGTTTTGGAACTACAAACTTAGCAAGAAGAATTCGAGAGGGAGATGGTTCCCAGCCTCTACATACCCCAGGAGCCGAGGTCCAGCTTGGTGGTACACCACCATAGAGTCCCCAACCATGAAGAGTCTTGAAAGCAACCCTCCAAGGGGCTACACCAAGCAAAATGTAACACTACACGAAGTAGCGTTACTATTTTCATTATTTAATATTAATCCGCGTCCCTTGGGCTTGAAATCTTGAGCTCTTGGTCTTGGATCTGCAAGATAAATTCTTCTTGAGTTTATGGGGGCTTGCTGCACACACGTGCGACGCGATGGACACTTCACACCCGACAAAATAGAAAAAACACATGCGACACACAAACGACGACTTGACATGCGAGTTGTAAAAACTCGCTAATGTCTTGACCGACACAAACAACATTGTGATACACCATTCAAACACACACATGAGCATTAGATAGGAATGACATAGACTCACAATTCATTCCATGCCATGCATGCACACACACAAGCAAGGACGACAAGCCGCGTGCAAGCCTTAGGGTTGCACCAACAAACTCCCCCTCGGATTGTTGGCCTTAGAATCTGCTCCCCTTAGTTCAGAGCCATCCCAGCAAGCTTGCAACACTTCCACTGCTGCTGCTCAACCAGCCTCTTGGTCATCATATCAGCTGGCTGCGCTGTCGTCTTCACGTAGTGCAACTCCACTTCACCCGCGGTTACCATGCTCCTCACCCAATGCCACTTCACCTTCATGTGCTTGGTAAGACCATGAAGAACGGGGATCTTTGCCAATGCAATAGCACCTTGGCTATCACAATAGAGTGGGGTAGGTCCTTGCTGCTCCTCCCCCAATTCAGCTAGCAAACGCCGCTGCCACACAACCTCTCTTATGGCACGGAAGAGTGCCATGTACTCGGACTCCACCGAGCTCAATGCTTGGTCCACTTGTTTCTTGCTCTCCCAAGCTGTTGGTCCTCCACCAATACAGCAGATGAAGCCTCCCACACTTGTCATGTCCTCTGGTTCTGATGCCCAAGATGCATCAGAGAAGGCCGTGAGAAAGAGCCTCCCGGGTTCGACTCCATCCGCACCCTTTTGACGCCTTTGTGCCGCGGCGGAGTATTGCAGTCCAACAGTTGCTGTTTGGCCAAGGTACTTGGCCACCCTCTCTCCAGCTGCTACCTGCTCTTCATTAGGGCATTGGACAACCCTAGCCAGCTGCCCGGTAGCAAAGGCTGCATCCGGCCTTGTGTGAACGGCCGCATACATGAGGCTGCCCACCAAGGAGTGAAAACGCCGCCTCTCCTCTTCACCAACACTTTCCTCCGCTGGTCCTTTCACACACTTGAACCCTGAGGGAAGAGGAGTAGCCACATGACCTTCACTCTTCCCAAAGTTTGCAGCCAAGGCCTCCAAGTACTTCTTTTGATGCACTCGCATCAACCGCTTTTCCACATCTCGCTCAATGTGAAGCCCAAGGTAGTAGTTGACGTCACCAAGGGTCTTGCACTTGAACTTGTCTTGAAGCTTCAGCATCACCTCCTTCACAAGGTCAGAGGAGGGTGAGAATATGAGGATGTGTTCCACATAAACCACCATGAAGCTCCTCTGCTCCCCCTCGCACGCTCATCACCTTGCTGCACCTCCTCCTCCTCTTCTCCCCCATTCATTTGAGGAGATTGCCTTGTGATAGTGCTGCTGCTACTGAGCTCCAAGGGCAGCTCCACATGCTCCAAGCCGGTACTCTTCACCTCTCCAAGCCGCACACCAATCTTCGCTTGGTTCTCCGCCTTCCACTCCTTGTACGGTAAGTTCTCCATGAACTTGCAATCTCTGCTCACCAGGAACTTCTTGGTAAATGGGTCCCAAAGAAGCCATCCCTTGCTGTTTTGAGCCATGCCCAGGTGCACGGCCCATGTTGCCTTAGCATCAAGCTTGTTGTGCCGAAGTTTCTTAGGCACAAGTGCCATGCACATGCACCCGAACACCCGAAGCATATCCACCTTCGGCTTCCTTCCAATCCACTCCACATAGGGCACCCATTTGTCTTCTCCCACGTGATTCAAGGCTCTGTTCTTGGCCACACAAGCATGCCGCACCGCATCCGGCCAAAAGTAATTAGGTAGACCGGCTTCAATGAGAAGTCCCCGAGCCGTCTCCGTGAGTGTCCGATTCGCACGCTCGGCAATGCCGTTCATTGCAGGAGAGTAGGGCATGGTGAGAGAGTGCCTTATGCCCTGTTTCTTCAGCCAAGTTGAGAAGTCCTTGCTCAGGAACTCTCC